GAATAGAATAGAATAGAATAGAATAGAATAGAATAGAATAGAATAGAATAGAATAGGTTTATTGGCCAATTGTGATTGGACATATAAGGAATTTGTCTTGGTGTAAATACTCTCAGTATACATAAAAGAAAAGATGCATTCGTCAGGAGTCGAGAATCATAAGGTATGACACTTAATGATAGGTTGAAGGTGGATGGCACTGTTTTTACACTTCTAAATGAGAGGTTCCAATCCATGATGCTGGAGAATGAGCAGTAGGGAACCATTCTTTTTTTTGGAGCAGGCAACATTAAATCATGTCCCTATCACTTCTAGACTGGAGGTATATGTGCGTGGGTGTGTCTTTGTTTGTCTATTTATTATGCCTCCCATCTCACTGATACATGAGTCTGGGTTGCTTATAATATGATAAAAAGTTTTTAAAAGGTAATACAAAACAACTGAAACTGGAATTATTTTGAATGTAGCAGTCTGCTACATTCAAAATATTGGTATTTGAGAGCTGTTGTACTTATAGAATACTGTTTAGTAGTAGGTTCTCAAGTAAAGGGCTGCAGAAAAAACAATTACTATCAACCTGCCTTCATTCGAGGACCTGTATACTGCATGAGTCAAAACAAGGGCTGTGAAAATATTTACAGACCCCTCACATCCCGGACATAAACTGTTTCAACTCCTTCCCTCACGACGACGCTATAGAGCACTGCACACCAGAACAACTAGTCACAAGAACAGTTTTTTCCCCAAAAGCCATCACTCTGCTAAATAAATAATTCCCTGTTTATGTTTACTGTTCAACTATTTACAGTCTGCACTACTATTACTGTTAATCTTCTCATCACTCCTTATCACCCATCCCCTCCCACTTGTGACTGTATGACTGTAACTTTGTCCCTTGTATCCTTATGATTTATATTGACTATTTCCTAGTATGATTTGATTGCTTATTGTACCCTATGATTATCATTAAGTGTTGTACCTTATGATTCTTGACTCTTGACGAATGTATCTTTTCTTTTTTATATACTGAGAGCATTTGCACCAAGACAGACTCCTTGTGTGTCCAATCACACTTGGCAATAAAGAATTCTATTCTATTCTATTCCTATTCTATTCCTATTCTAAAGTTCAGGTTTTAAGTGCCTGATTATCCTATTTGTTCAATTTAGGGTATTTTGGGTTTCCACATTTCAAGAGCTCTGGATGGCACAGAAGCAGATCTTATTGGTCATGGAGTACTCCTTTGTAGTGGTTCCCCTCTCCCCAAGTTCCCCTCTCCATCAAATGCTATGCTATGTTTTTCAAGAACACAGTGAAAACTGGTTTTTAAAAATTCTTCTGTAATAAGGTATATAAATAGCAAAATAAAATAAATGCATATTCATTATGAGATTGCTGTCTACACTTGTCTTTTGCTATGATGTGTTCTAATTTTAATGTCCATAATGACATTAAAACTAGTTGAATCTATTTTTCATCTAGTAATATGTTACTAATACAGCCAAGCAACTTTATCATTTTCCTGTGTACAGAATCCTGTTTCTCTAGGATATTATAATCTTCGCCTTCTTAGAAGCAACATCACAATATTTTATCCTGTCCTGAGAAACCCACCCTCCTCTTTTACTTCCGTAGTTATGTCTCTTCTCTATGCCTCATTTTCCTTATTTGTATGACGCACCTTCATAAGATCCATCCATTATGCTAACACTATTATCAGGAACTAAAAATGGTGAATCCTCAAAGACCATTCTGACCTGTGGAAAGAAAAATGGGAGTGATCATCCTAGAACTGGAATCATTCACAAACAGAAGTATGCAAATTATGCAACGTTCTTATACAAAAAAACAGGGGAATTTAAAATTAGTTACAAGTTAAACTGTTTCATTCAACCTCTAAAAACTACCATTAAAACCGGATTGCTTTCTGCATTACTAAGATGCCAGCCTTAATAATACGGACCTATAGAAGAAATAGCTATAAAATAATAAGTGTTGGAAGAAGCCATTAGGCTACTGAGTTCAACTTCTTGCTCAATTCACAAATCTCAGGTAACCCATTGGTTGTCCATGACCATTGGTTGTCCATGTCTACTAGAACAATCTAGCAAAAGGGAGCTCACCCCTTTCCTCATTAACTGATTCCATTGTTGAACTGCTCTTGCTATTACTTTTCTCACATTCATCCAATATCTGCCTTTCTAGAATTTAAAAGTAGTACTCTATGTCCTATACTCTTGGACAAATAAAAAATAGGTCATGGATTTATTTTATGTTGCATTCCTTCAAGTACAGGTAGTTTCAGGTTACGACCACAGTTGAGCCCCAGATTTATGTTGCTAAGTGAGAAATTTGTTAAATGAGTTTTGCCCCATTTGTCAAGTGAATCAGTGCAGTTGTTAAATTAGTAACACGGTTGTTAAGTGAATTTGGCTTTCCCAGTGACTTTGCTAGTCAGAAGTTCGCAAACGGTGATCATATGACCTGAGGACACTGCAACCACCATAAATGTGAGCCAGCTGTCAAGCATCCAAATGTAAATCACGTGACCATGGGGATGCTGCAATGGTCATAAGTGTGAAAAACGGTCATAAGTAACTTTTTCAGTGCCGTTGTAATTTTGAATGGTCACTAAGCGAACTGTTGTAAGTCGAGGACTACCTGTACTTGAAAAATATGATCAAATTTCCCCTCAGTCAACTTTTTTCAAGATCGCACATATCCAGTTTCTTTTATTTCTCCTCAGAGAACTGAGGACTTAAAATATCCCATATCCAGTAAATTTTCATATCCTATCATCCTCATTGCATTTCTCTGTGTGTGTTTTGGAATTGGAGACAATGCTCAAGAGACATGTGACCAATCTAGAACAAAGTGCTTTTCATAATAAAGGATTTTACAAGTGCCTCCCATTGACTTTGATACAGTATTTAAAAAAGCAGCTGGGGCATATTCATGGCATAACACAAATGGAAAAGATTGAGAAAGGCCCCCACTTGTATACGACACCATTGATTTTGTAGTATAACCCAACATTACTTGTGAGAGTAGAGCCTGAGCTTTGGACTCTGATAACAACCGCAGACCAGCAGTGGCTTTCAATACTACGGGGGTCTTGTTCCAGTGACTTGGTGGTACAGCATTTTTAGCCATTTCTAATAATTTTCTGATCGTTTCAGCACCCTAAAGATTAGCAGAAACAAAAGCAAAAAAATGATAGGACTGGGCAGTGTTTTGGTTTACAGACATATTTTAAATATTTCTCTTCTTCAACTCCTTCCTCCAAACCTACTTTATTTTAGCTTGACATTTAAATTTTTCCTCTTGAATTAAGCTTAACTATCACCTTCATTGACCTCTATCCCTATCCCACTAATGCAAACTACTGGTCCCATCTATGTTCTCTTGCCCCAACCTCGCTCAATTTTCTCATTGTTTATGGACCTATATTGAGAGTGAGAGAATTGGTATTGATTAATGACAAAACATGTCCTTGCACATACAATGTTCCTTTTATCTCCAGCTAGGTTTATGGAAGAAGTAATTGGAAAAAGCTTGGAGAATTACTATTTTACAGTGAGAATAAGCAATAATGGAAAAATGAAATCAGCAATTTGTCTTTATCATTCATATTATCTTCAAGTGCCAAAAGAAAATAATTTGTTTTCCATCAGAAACTCTTACCTTCTTAGGCTGATTGGCATATGCTGAGAGACCTGGTTTCACTGATTCAAACACTTCCCCTTTTAACTCTGCAGGGTTTTCTGCAAAAATGTAAAAAATAAGCTGTTAAATAGGCTTGTTTTTATCTATTTAGTTCAATATTTTGCTCTACTGATTACAAATGAGTTAATAACTGAAATATATCAGTGAAGATTGTGATTTTTAATCAAACTATGTCCCAAGATTTAACCAAGAGGTATCTTTCAGAGAAATTGATTTACAGTGAAAATGGAAAAAAACAGAAACTTTATTTTGTAGTAGATATATAATTCTTGGTAATGTGTGACTTCTGGGTGAATGGTTCTGTGTAACAAATAAAAGAATTATAATATTTTGTAGAAGATTGCAGTAGGAAGAGATATTCTTGAGGAAAATTCTAACCCATATCATAAACATGTACTGCCTGGAGAGCAACACTGAGATATAAGTTGTCATTATTACTATAGTTATAAAGCTGTCCCACGCAAAAGATGGTGGGCAGCTTACATCATTGCATCATAAAACAACCACAAAGCATAACCAGCCAGCCAAAATACTGCACAAAAACTGAAAACAAAATATGACAAAATGGGCTAAGCTATGCTCTGTTGTGTTAATTCTCATTTCATTTGCCAACAGAGATGAAAATCCAGATGCTTCATAATTCTGTATCAAAACCATCTCTCTTCCTTCTTTTGGAAGATAGTTTTCAGAAGACTGCATTTGATTTATTAGTGTGATATAGCTGTACAAATCCAGTATTACCTAAGTAGGGCAAATGTTTGTATTGGATTAACAAAATAAAGGATTAGTAACAATGATTGAGACAATCATTAAATATAATATTAAAACATAACCAACTGGAAATGCCAAGCAACCAAAGAGCAGAAAATGTTGTTAAACGTTATCCATAAGATAATATTTTCTTGTTTTTCTATGTGTAGAATTAAGTTGCACTCATATCCTGTTTCCATCTTTTAAACTTAATCTACTTTAGAATCTTTCTCAGGGAAATACATCAATGAAGCAACTGATCCAATAACTCTTTACAAAGAGACTTGCACAAATCAATCAACATTGATTGAAATCAGGAAATAAAGAAAACTGAAAGAAACTGCAGGAAGAGACTACGAAATAAGGATACATCCACAGACTACTAAAATTCTGATTTCTTTAGGCTTTAATGGATGAAAGGGCAAAATCTTTTGAACTGAGGGGCTCCAAATGGCCAACTTGCAGAATGAATCCAAAATCCGGGACCCATGACTCCACAGATTTGAAATTTGGCAAAGCTTATAAGGCATTTTATGACATAAATATTATGAAACAGTTAATGACATAATACAAAATGTCATAAAACATGTCCAACTGTGGTATACAATTCAACATGGGGTATTTTCAAGACAAACACATCTTTGAATGTATCCCATTTTTTCACTGAATGCATTACATCAAAAGCTTTGTCACTTTGATGGGATTGAGGAGTCTGGTAATATTTCTGAAAGGATGACTCGGGGTCACAAGTTGTCTAGTAAATTCCTGAAACATTTAATCTATCAGAATTATAATTTAAGAGTTGCTTATAGAGGTCAAGTCAACAATTTGTGGAGAGTAAACAAGGTGTTTAATATCAAAATGTCAATTAATTGCTTATAATATACTGACAAATGCCTGGTTTTATAGCATTTTTATGATTTATTCATTTAATATAACTGCCCACCTCACATTTGTGACTGGATGGCTAATATAATTAAAAAACACAAAAACAATAAACACAAATGCAAAAACAACACAAAAATATCATTAAAACTAATTACAAACCACAAATAATCAGTGGGAAATTACAAGTGATGTGTCAACTAATACAACCACCTAGCAGACTCCATACCACAAGTTCCTATGTTCAGGAGAACTTCCAACAATCTTACCTGGGCTTCGCTGTATAAAGGTGTAAATATGAATTCGTGTCCCTGTGCTTCCTGCATCAAACATGATGCCATAAAATGTTTCCATGCTGGCATTGGCTGGACACACCTTAAGGGGGAAGAGTTCTTGGAACCATAACTCCGGTTTGGGATGAGAAACAATACGATAAATATAGGAAAACACAAATATGGCAATGACTGTGAACCAAGAAGTATTCATCATGCTTGGGAGCCTCAGAAAATTGCAGTTTGAATCAAGACTTCCAGATTGTAGAGGTTCCTGAAGATAACATTATATACATCAAAAAAAGCATGTTAAATAAGTCAGCCAACACAGAAACTTCCCACATCCCCAAAGGTGATTTCATCACTAAAACAAGGACAAACCACTACATTTCAAGTCTGCTTCTTTAAATCTATGGAACAGTTACAACAGTGTTCTAAAATTCTATATGGAATAAATACAGAAGTTCTTTCTTTATGTTAATATTGAACATTCCAAATTAATGTAGAAATTAATGTAGTCAGCTTTGCTATAATTCTAGCTATCACTTTGAGAAGGCTAGTAAAGCTCAGAATACAAGTGTCCTTCAAAACAACCAACAATGGGAATTACACATGCTGTTGATGACACTAAGTAGGCAGAACAAAACAATGCATTTAGTTGTGGTGCCCTCCCCTTTCATATCCAATTTATGGTTCAGGGTCATTTCTGTTTTGTGCTTTTTCTTTCAAATCAAACTTGCCTATTGTTTTTGATGCACCCTTGCATCCTATAAGATGTTGACATGGTAATAGATTTAAAAAATCTGCTTTAAGAAAAATTCAGCACAGGAAATTCACAAAAGCTAAATTATGCTAAAATCTCAAACTGAAATGGACAGACTGAAATTAAGGAAGACAGAAGATTGTTTCAGATGTTATGACTTAAGTTTCTGTAGTAGGAGAGAATTTATTAACATTATTGTTTCTAGCAAATTCCTGAGTACCTAAATAATTTGAAGCCATCACACTGGAAACCAAGGATTATAAAGTTTGATGGGCTAGAGATTGTGGGTCAGATGCCTGGTTTTACTGTCTTTGGTTATTGTTACAAACCACCCATAATTGAGTTCTATAAGATGGAGAGCCATTTAAGTCTTTTAAATGCATAATATAATGTAACATAACAGCTCTATAGATTTTTTCACATTAAAACAAAGTATTTAAAATTTAAAAACACATGTTCCTCCATTCAGATCCCCTTTTCTGCTGCTGTGCCACTTATTTTAGTATGCTTTTCACAGGTATTTCTCTTCCACAATAGACCGCTGCTGGTTATTAACTCTGGGGTGCTCTAGTTTTTTTTAATAAATATCAACATTTTTCTTATGCAATCGTTTTTCACAATTACCAGAGTTAATACCAGTTAATTAGAACAGTTCAGTGGCATGTGATTGGTACTTAGTATCTGAATCCCTAATTGCTGGATTCTTTATTGCTTCAGCATCCATCCTCCAACTTGTTTCAATTTTCTATCTCCTGTTATTCAAAAAAACTCAAGTCTGTTCTACTTTCTTCCATTTTTTGTCATGTGTTTAACTTTTATTGCTACTCTTTCAACTTTATTCCTACTCACAAACTATGACATAATCCCTTAAGCAGTTAATTTTTAATCCAATCATTCTAACAAAGTTTCTCCTAATAATTAATTGAAAAGTTTTTTGCTACAATTTTTTTTTGCTGGTTTAATATATAACTTGTATAAAAGATCAAGTTATTATGTTCATGGAAAATAGGGGCAAGAAACTTATAGCAATACATGCCCAAAATACAATAACTATTATCCATATATTTCTTTGGAAACTGGGCAGGCATAAGAATATTGAGTATTTGCCAAAATGAATTTTGAACTTAAACCTAAACCTTAGATTTCTAACTCATATAAAACCTAAAGTATTTTTATTTGTTGCTCCAAATACCTTGTTGTCAAAATATATCAGATTTAAAAGTATAATTAGAAAAATATGATGTTGAAATTTAAATCTAATCTACAAAAATGGCTCTACATAGACTAAAGAAATTTGATCTAATTGGAAACTTTTAAAATCTAGAAATAGTGAATGTATGCAATGTAATCCACCTTTTTTTTACAAATTCCATCTAAAAAATATTGTTGTTGTAAACCTTTATGATAATCTCTTAATCTCCCCACCCTTTTATAAGAGATGGTAATACACTGTATACACCAGTCTTTGGTTTCTTCCTCTCCTTTTTGAATGGGATAAGGAAATGAAAAGAACAAAAAAGGAAAACATAATCCCAAAGCCTTTTAAGGACTTTTCTTCAGGGGACTTTAAAAAATAAAACTCTAATATTATATTGTTTAATAATGGCTGATATGTATGTCTTATTTGCAATTATCATTTTGTTGAAACACCGTGATTTTTTTAAAAAATCGCATTACCCTTAAGAGATTCTTCCTTAAAAAGCATTGGAACTGAGATTTTGCAATATAATATATGTGCATGATTTTGTTTTCCCTTTTTAGTTTTACAAAGTATAAAAATACTTGATTGCTATATATTGCTTTCCTACAAGAGATCAAATTAGTTTGTACTGGCGATCTCTTCTCATTTATTCCAATAAAAATAACTCATAAGTAGCATGGGGGGAGAGAGGGAGAGAGAGGGAGAATCCCAAAATCAGAGTTTCCACAGCCAAGTGTATCCTTTAACCTAGGATTTCCTGGTCACGGTTCAATACCTTAGCCACTTTGGCTCTCCATTTTTATATATTATAATAACGATCATATATATCATATATCATAGATATTACCAGATATGAGCTGTGGTAGCACAGTGGTTAGAGTGCAATACTGCAGGCTACTTCTGCAGATTGCTGGCTGTCTGCAATTTGGCAGTTCAAATCTCACCAGGCTCAAGGTTGACTCAGCCTTCCCTCCTTCTGAGGTGGTAAAATGAGGGCCCAGACTGTTGAGGGCAATATGCTGACTCTGTTTAAGAGAGGGCTGTAAAGCAGCATGAAGCTGTATATAAGTCTAAGTGCTAAGTGCTGCTATTGCTATCCCCATATCTTCAAATAAAAAGTTCCAATTTGGCTGTTTTTTTTCTATTCCAGACTTCCCCAAAAAAACATTCAGGACCTGAAATACGAACTATATGTATTCTTACCTGTTCTATGGGTACAATGAAAAATATTTAGCTGTTATTCATGTAGGCAGGAAAGTTGCATATTATATATCTGTAAGTCCATTTTCTGCGAACAGAGGTTTATCATTTATCTAAGGCAAACAAGAAAAAATGTCCAGTTGGATTTTTTTTCTAGCAGAAGTTCAAGGGGCATATTTTAAGTAAGAAGTTCCACTGAAAACTACTGACCTAGAAAATCATTTACCAACTTGAATATTCATTGCAACATAAAGATTAAAGTCAATAGAAAAAAAAACAAAGGCATTTATCATATTACGTCATACTCAGCAGTCCAGTTTTACTAGATGAAATAAATACCAAATAGATGTGCTCCAAATATGTTGTATTATCTCTTATCTTTCCTAGTCAAGTATGTTTGTCAAATAGTGTAAGAACACCTATGAACCTTGTAAGAATCTTGTAAGAACACCTATGATCCCAAGATTAGAAATGCTAATGTTAAGTGGAAATGCTGTTAAGTACCTTTAAAATACCATTTCAGAAATCTCAAAAACACTGATATAACTGAAATTTATTTTTTTTGGGGGGGGGAAGCAACATCATTTTCAAGAATAACAGCATGCTGAGTATATCTGGAACTGGAATATGTATGTAAAGAAATCACATGTGGTTTGTTTTTGCTGTAATGAATGACCTCTTATATTTTTAGAAAAAATATTGGTAACAAAGGATGACAGTTTTTCCTTTACAAGTACAATATTTATGCAGAAATTTTCAGACTGGGTAGATGAAAGGTTAAATTAGCAGATACATGCCAAATACTTGTCAGTTGAATCCTACAGAGTTCTGTGAGACCCTACTGTGGAAATAAAGAGCAGGGCTGATAAAATGAGAGAAGCTTTTTTAAAAATAAAATAAATGTTTGCTGTTGACACTTAAGAATGGAATTTTGTTGGGCTGTGCGCTATTATATCTTGCCGGTTCTTTTGTACTGAATGATGCCCGAATGACAATCCGGAGAATAAAAGCCTTTAAATCCGTTTATGGATTGCTTAAAATATTATGGCTTGAATGCGTCTGAAAGGAGACAGCGATCCAGAGAGTGAGTAAAGATACAGATAGTACGAAGCTATCGAGAAAAAAAGGCGTTTGAAATATTTAGAACACATGAAATGCAACGAGAAATATCGCCCAGTTCACGATAGGGACAACTCGAGAGGTTAAGAGCGGTCAGGAGTGCGCCGAAAAACAAGAACAAGGGACGCGTATTATGGTTCGACTCCCGCGTCGGCGGCCCTGAATTAGGGAAAGACCTCCCGCCCCCCCCAACCAACCAATTCACTCCCGAGCCCAGTTTTCACTCACCATGTTCTCCGAACCTTCAGCTTTCCACATCTCACCGGTGCCGCGTGTCACGTCAAACCACTGCGCGTTACGTCACGGGCGCACCAGTCCTACCTCACTTTCCCGCGACGGGTGGTTTCCATAGCGACGGAGTCGCTTTAAAAAGCCAGGCAATCTCTAGAAAAGCCCGCGCCTGGTGACATGGCAGGGAAAACCGCGCAAAGCAAAGACGCGAAAGGAGGGAAGTAGGTACCTTGGAAGGGATTCTCCTAACGAAGGTGGGCGGGGGGGCTGCTGGCCGGGGTTAAGTCGGTTAAAAGCCAAGCCTTCCCCCGTCCTTTGCGTCGCGTTGCTCTTCAACAGGGGGAAGAAAGCCGGAGCGGACGCCGGCAAGAGCAGAGTAGACCCGAGGTCCTTGAAGGAGGAGTCGGAGGCCGATAGGGCTAAAGCCGCAGCGACGCTATGGGAGGCCAGGCTGGAGGTAACGGAGATCTCCCGCAAAGAGTACCGCGAGGCTGCTCGCCGCCTCGCCCGGGACAACGAAGAGCTGGAACGGCAGCAGCGGCGGCTGGAGAAAGATACGGTCGACGTGATGTCCTACCTCAAGAAGCAAGAGGCGGAGAAGGAAGACCTGGTAGGTGTAGAGCAGAACAAACAGAGTGGGAGGGGATCTTGGAGGTCTTCTAGTCCAACCCCCTTGCTCAAGCAGGAAACCTTATACCATTTCAGACAAAGTATAGAGTTGCCCCTCTTTAATCTGTCAAACTGTGGTTTTGTGGGCAAATGTCAGTTTGTTGATTTCTTTAAACTGTGGATTTGACTTGAATGGTTATTGTATTTACATTATGCCCAATGCTTTCAATATTAAATGCAATGGATAAAGATCATCACCCCAACTGCAGTGCAGTTGTGAAGTGTTTCAACAGAGTCACTTTGGATAGGGAGATAGGTGGCACATAAATTTAATAAATAAATTTCAGAATGAAGAAATGTCCTGGGGGAAAAAATATGATATTAATCACTATTAACTGCCTGGCTTGGTAGAGCAACCAAAGAGGACAAATGCAGACTCCAATGGATAGTTAAGACTGCAGAAACAATATAAGTAGTGTTCAATGTACGACCATAATTGAGCCCAAAATTTATGCTGCTAAGTGAGACATTTGTTAAGTGACTTTCGCCCCATGTTATGACTTTTCTTGCCATATTTGTTAAGTGAATCGCTGCAGTTCTTAATAACACAGTTGTCAAGTGAATCTGGTTTCCCAATGACTTCGCTTGTCAGAAGGTAGCAAAAGGGGACCACATTGTTCCGGGACATTGTAACTGTCATAAATGTGAGTCAGTTGCCAAGTATCTGAATTTTGATCAGATGTGACCATGAGGATGCTGCAACAGTTGTAAGTGTGAAAAATGGTCATAAATCACTTTTTTCAGTGCTCTTCTACTTCAAACTGTCACTAAATGAACTGTTGTAAATCGAGGGCTACCTGTAATTTCAATTAGCCTGCCTTCCATAGGAGACCTGTATATTGCATGGGTCAGAAGGAGGACTAAGAGGATATCTGCAATCCTTCACATCATGCACATAGACTGTTTCAACTGCTTCCTTCTGGGTGGTGCTACAGGGCATTGCAGGCCAAAATAACTAGACACAGGGATAGGTTTCCCCCAAGCTACCACTCTGCTGAATACCTAATTCTCACAGCAATGTCTAATGTCTATGTGTATTTATACAAGTAGTATGGTTATAGCATTACTATTATACTTATTATCTTTCTTGCTCTATCCTCATTGATATTATTTTTATGATTATTATTATTCTGTTGTTTTGCATGTACTTCTGCACATAGACAAATGCACGTAAGAGCTTCTGCAGGCAGACAAATTCTAATCACACTTGGCCAAATAAAGTATTCTGTTCTGTTCTATCCTATTCTAACCTATCCTATCCTATTCTATTCTGTTCTGAGATTAGCATAATCGTGAAAAAGGAGAATAATTAAGAATGCCATTCCATACTCCCTATATAGTCTGTAGCTTTCTTTTGACTGTGACGTTTGGACAGGGGAATTTGATAATATATTCCACATCTGTTGCGAATGGGTTAGAAAATTCGCATTTGAAACCTTGAAAAGGTTGAACATTGGTTCCTGTCCTGTCCTCCCCTGGGTGCTTTTCCTGGTGTAACAGATGGTAGGAAACAATCAATTAGGCTTTTGCTTAAAGCTTGTTTGTGATTTTAATGTAAAGACATAATAGAAAGGTCTCCATGCCAATTGTTAGGTTTTCCATTGTCCTATTTTTGGGAATCATGATTAGCTATGGGTATACTTTTGAAAAAATGAGACAATGTCATTTAATGGCCTGGCATGCCTTTCATTTATTAAGAACATTTTTCTCAGTATTTATAACATCAAAAATCTGTCTTCTGTTGCTAGAATACGGAGAATATGGACTTAAGCCAGAAGAAAGACTTTCTGGGAATTTAAATTTTTGCATCCCTTCATTCAACAGTTATTGGCTTCTGGCTGTTATCAGGGGGAATGATTGACTTCTTTATCAACTTTATGTTTTTAATATTTAGATTGAGAAACTGAAACAGCAGGTGAATGAATTGAAGCTCAGAGCCAAAGAGGAAAGTGAACTAGCGGTGAATGGACATTTCTTCTGACACTTGTGGTAACAAAGGACACTGCAGATCAGGCCTAGCATGTCTTAAGCATCAGGCATGACGGATAAATGTAAAATTTGTTACATAAGATTATTTTTCACTAAAAGTACAAAATTAATTATTTTAAAAACTCACTTTATTAACTTCTTAAACATTTTTTGAAACTTGTTTTGCTAGAAAAAAATGGAAAAGTAGGGTCCAAGTATGCTGATATTCTCCTTGAGGTAGTAAAGCCAAAGCTTTGCTTTTTTTGATGGACTAAATTGTTGACATCTAAGTGAGTTAATTCCAAGTAAACATACCTTGCATCAAGTTGTAAGAAAGTTGTAATCCTCAATTCTCAGCAGTTGGTTCATTCAATCCAAGGTAGAACTGTCTTGAAACTGATAAAGCCATTATTTCCATATATTTTGCAGTTTTATTTTATTAATAGTTATTTTAGTTTTTTTAGCAGTAACCTTTGTCTTAATTGCTTTTAAAGATTGCATTAAAATGTCATGTTTGTTTTTCAGTATTGTTTAATTTTAGATCTATGCCTAGATATTTTATTTGAGCTAATTTTAGATCTATGCCTAGATATTTTATTTGAGCTAAAAGATTTTAAATTTGTAGGCAGAACAATTCGCTAAACAGTTAGAAGAGTTAGAGGAGAAATTTCATCGAAAGGCTACGGAAATTGGTCTAATTCAGATTGAACTTAAGATGATCAAAGAATTTCGCAAAAAGAAAGCACTTTTGGAGAAAGAATTAGAAGACGTAAGTTTATTCCTTACAATTCTTATATTAATTTTTAGAAGGGCCTTATATTCTCCCCTTATTGATAATGGTAGACAGATGTAGCCTCCAGTAGTGACATAGAGTTGCGAAATATGTATCAGAACAATCTTTAAATTATAATAGGATAGTAAAATATCACTTTGCAGAAATTCAACTGTTAAATCTGGCAGAACGGATATTTCAACAGGTATCTTAAAGAACAATCATTTGGGCAATACTTCTAGAAGAGGAAAAGTTATGTTAAAATGAGATACAAGGTTATATCTCTAAATAGTACTCATAATATACCAGTATCTATCTATTCTATAGAGTTGCTGATATATATATATTTTTTACTAAGTAAGAGATGATAGGTAAAATACTACAAATCTGAGAAACAATTGAAGAAAATCTAAATGTGATATGTTCTAAAATATTCCAAACCTGGAAAGCCAGTTTGGTCTAATGATTAAGCACCAACGTAGAAAGCAAGGGACCCAGTTCAAATCTCACTTTAGCCATGAAAGCTAGCTGGGTGACTTTGGGCCAGTCATTCTTTCTCAGCCCATCTCACCTTACAGAGTTGTTGTTTTGGGAAATAGGAGGAACAAGTTGGGCCAGATACGCTTGTCACCTTGAGTTATTTGCAAAAATAATAAAGGTGGGATACAAATAGATAAATAAATGCAGGCCTGTGCAGTTTTTCTGTAGAAAGTGTTAGTTGAATTGTCCTCTAGATGACTGCATTATAATTAAATGCTTCTTTAAATTCTAGCTGAAAGATACCTTGGATATCACAAAAAAAGAACATCAGGAAACTATTAGTATGTTGGAGAAAAAGTTCATTGAAGAAAAGGTAGAGTACTTTGGGAATAGTAGACAGAGTTTCAATGTACCTAATCCCTGCAGTAATAGATGTATACTTTTACTTTGTTACTTTTTCTTTCAGCAACGTCTAGAACGAGAAGCAGAGAAGAAGATTATAATGCTAGCCGAAAGAGCCCATCATGAAGCCATTGCGTAAGACTTATTTGATTTCTGTATTCCTATCTTGGTAAATATGAATGATTATGAAGATGATGATGATGATGAATGGTGCTAGGAAATCAATATATGCTTCATTCCTGGAAAAAAATAGGATGCAAAGCTGAAAGTAATCCTAATATGTCCTTAAATAGGTTTGTATCACTTAATTCTGAATTTATTTTTTATATTGTGAAATATTAAATAAAGGAGCTAAAATCCTTGTGCTGATAGAATTTCTTCTGTAATGAAATATGTGAAAGACACTTCTTTTGGGCTTGGACTCAAAAACTAATCCCCACTGTTGGGGATCCTCCAGAGTAGAGATAAATGTGTAATGTTCCATTGTGCAGGCAGACTTTCCATTTGCATGTTACTGTATTAGAATTAAATCAGAAAATTTGATACCAATAGCTGGATCGTTTTGCTCTTATTCAGGCAGTTGGATAATGCTGGACGAGCAGTTTTTACAGAGAATGTTCGTCTTCAAGAGGCTCTTGGTTATCATATGAAGGAGACAGAAGAGTTACAAAATATCAAGCAGAAATTGGAGAACAGCAATGCCTTTCTCTTGCAGGAAAAGGTTTTTATTCTTCCTTTTTTGTTCTTTGGTAAATAAGATCTAAATTATATTTCAGA